AGCTAAAAGTGATACACGAGTGATAATCTCGATGCAGCCATTTTTGCCAGCATCACCTTTACGAGCGTAGGGATCGTCGCTTGCAATTATTTTAAGCGCCAATCCACAAAAAACATTTTGCCCCAGTCGAAGTACTGTACATGGTTTAAGCAGTACCGCCGGTTCACCGTAGGCGCAGGCGCTGCTCGTGCCTACATGCCGTTACTCTAAACAGTTTCAGACGAGTTGCCACCTATCGAGAGGGAAGAAAGAAATGTCCTGTTCAGTTCGATGCCGATAACAGGCAACGTAACGTATATGATAATTTACGTCGCCTGTTGTACAGATGATGTACTGCACGCCCTTCGAGGCGCGCTCATCCTATGCTGGACAAACCAGCCCGACCGGCTGTGTTTAATCTGAAAATTTTCTTGCCAGCATAGAATATGCGGGCACGGGCCTCCGTCGTGTCAGTCGCTGGGACGGACAAGCGGGCTTGGCGCATGAACAACCCGTTGGCAAAGAAGGTACGAGTGTATAAAAAGCGTTGGTGAATTCATTGGCTCTTTTTTCGGTATTATTTCGCAGTCCCACGTCGCATGTCCTCAGCGCCAGCGATGCACGGCGCCTGCGATGTTGCCCTCCCGACTTCGAGACCCCACCACCGGCAAGGACTGCCGCGTCCACTCCAACTCCTGCTGTGCGGCACGGCTTCGGTTTCCTAGACAGGTCCCTTGCTAGAGCCCGCGAAGGGCGCCTCGGAGAGTTTCCGATATCCCACAAACACATGTCTGCCCCACAATCCAAAATCCCACTCCGATGCCGGAGATCTAAACATTTAACCTGCTCCTCCCCTTGCACCTTGGCATAGGTACCACAACACCAGCCCTCTCTTCGATAGTTCCCCATCATCAACCATGGTCTCCGCAAATGGTCTGAAAGAGCTTTCAGATTCCCCCGTTCTCGTATTCGCCACCTACCTCCTCGTCCTTACCCCCCTGGCTCTCTATGTCTACCACGACGTCCTCGACACCCGCTGGCGTCCGGTCTGGAGTCTCGTCAGATATCTCTGCGCCTACGTCCTTCTCTACATCACCTCGGGTATCGCACTCATCTTCTATATAGTGGTTCAAGTCTACGGCCAAGACTACAAAGAAGTCGGCGCTACCTCCCTTGCCCTCATCCTCGGCACATATGGAGCTTGGAAGCTCATCCGCCTCGCACGCATCATCCACGCCCACCACTCTATTGTCCTCATCCTTCGACGAATCGACGCTGCGCTCTGTAAGCTCACTGGACTCCCACCCGTTGGGTTAGAATACTATCTCTTTAGCGGGCCTAAGCCTGATTTCACCTCTACGCAGGTCAGTCGCTCACAGTGGGATTTTGAAATGCGCCACAATTACATCTCCTCGAGCCTCTTCGACGACGACTTTCCAGGCGAAGCCGGCGCCCGAATCCGATGGCTTGTCTCTCTGCGTGGTCGCGTTGACGTCCTCGGCGAGGACGCAGACGAGTGCGCATCGCGACTCGCGCTGTGGATGCGCCTTGTGTTGCGCAGACCCCGCTCAGAGCCGTGGAGGCTGCTCACATTGACTAGCCCGCTCGTGCAAGGGCACTTGTGTCGCATTAGTTTGGGTGAGGCCCTCCGCGCGCTGATTACCAATGGGAGCATCAAGCCAACCCCTATGCATGTCCCGAGCAACCCCTCAGAGAAACTTTTGAACGGAGAATCGCTGACGGAGGTTGGGGTCGGTTTTTTTTGGGTGGCGAGTGAAATGGGGGCCGAAGAGATGACAGAGGTTCTGGGGGAAATGCCGCCAAGGTGGATGAGAGGTGTAACTCAGAATGGCAAGCAGCTCATGTTTGAGATCGTCATGTCCTTGCTGCTTTGTGACATGCCGGAACCGAAGGAGAAAGGCTTGAAGTGGATTTTGTCTCTTCCGGTATTAGATTGGAAAAGGGATGTGTCAGAGATACGCACTTGGAACGAGATGGCACGGGTCTGCGCCGACGCAGTTGTTTGCGTGATGCCGAGGTATAGTCATACAGGAGAGATGCCTCGTCAAGAGGAAATTTATGAGATTGTGAGAAGTGGTGTGTATGAACTGAAGGATGCCATATCTGATTCGCAAGAGTTGCAAGGGGATCTTGTTGGGCTGAGTCTAATTGAGATTATTCGTGCATCGTATCGCGCGGGATATTTGGCAGAGAGGATCCTCGGAGCAGACCTGGAGAAGGAGATAGAACGGATTGATCAGTCGTATGAACATCGCAGCTTAAGATTGTACAAGGCGGAGATTGTGACAGGGTTGTTTTCGATTCTTTTACAGCTTGGCCAGGATGATAACGAGCCGTTCAAGAGGGAGTTTGAGAAGCTAAAGGAGGAATGGGGTGTGCACCCGACTGTGTCGGATGTTATTCTCGCACTTCAGCATCGCGCGGCGAAGAAGAGAGAGGGCGCCTTACACATGGACGGTGTCGCCTCGAGCCGCTATTGGTTCCTCGTTGATCGGAGTGGGCGGTGTGAAGACCCAGTGATTGCATTTGCAGCTGTGTCATCTAGGGCCAGTGAGCTGGCCCCTTTTGTAATGTACATGCTCAGGGCATACCTGCGCGACAAGCACGTCATCAAAATGAATCAGTTGCACGGCAACCCTGACAAGTATCGAGAACCATGGATGAGATGGAAAACGGCACAAGCGCACGATATTAGCCGGAGTGCGGGGGTGATTGACCCAATCCAACTTCAAAGTCTCAACAGTGCCTCCTCACATCTGAATCAGGTGTCTCGCAGCGTAAGCGTTCCAGTAGCACTTTCGCGGATTTATGTTGACCCGTAGTGGCAAAAGCTCGCTCGAGATGATGCCAACAGGGCCATCTCAAAACTGCAGTAACGTCGTATGCAGACTGACGTTGCGTCACAGGGACGGATTTCTTCCCTCAGTTCTTGGGGCCTCAAGGAATCAGTAGTGACTGATGCTGGAGAGTACCTTTCTCAGCATTTAAAGTGACCGGAATTACCTTGCCAAATCATTTCGGAGGTTCGAAGTCTCTTCGGCGAGACAACCTAAGAGAAGTCTTTCATTTATGAGAAAAAGAAGAGCCATATTTGTACATTTCCGACGAAGTCTGTCTTTGTACTTCAATCAGAGTAAAAATGGAGCAAAGAAATCTAGGGAAAGCATAGAAACCCAACCCTTCTTTTGCACCTATTTTGACGAGGCTGTCCTCAAAGGAAAGTTATCTCCAGAATAAATCGACCTCACAACCTGTAGCCATGGTCCTTGCCTTAGCAAACCTATGCCCCGGACTAGGAGGTCGATTACTAGAATCGAGCCTGCATGAGAACCAATACTGGGGTTCGTCTGACTCAGAAGTGCAATAGACAATGCTTGGGACCCAGTTTGCTCTGACAACAATTCCAGAGATAAATTTTGTTTGGCCATACCGAGCTGATTTCAGTTGTTGCGCTGCTTCTTAGATAGAGCGGTTTCACTTGTGCATCGGGACATGTCTGTCGTCAGCTCTTGAACCAATCCGACAGTCTTCTTTGAACGGAATGATTCCTTCCATACCGAACGAGGAGGGGGAGGTTCAACACAGTGATGGATCAATATGTTCACAGGGAGGGGGGAGGACCTGCGGGATGAAAAGCTAAGCTTCATTGGATTGAAAGTCCGAGGAGCGTTGAGGTGAGATTGACTATATGGGAGTCCCTCCTCTCCTTCTTGACGAGCTTTTTCTTCAGGGTACCGACTCGTTTCAATCTCCAGTCTATGTTTTTGGTGGCAGCTTTCTTCTTGACTCTTTGCACGTCTCGGAAAAAGCTCAAAGCTTCATCCACAGAGAGGCCTGGAATGTCAACCAGACAGCCGACGTCTTTTCCGTTTCTTTCGAAAGCGGATGTGACCTTGAGTTCGTAGAAAGCCATTGGTTTCGAGGATTTGAAGACGAAGGTGCGAGGCTAAGTCAGAGACGGGTTGGAAGTGGGAGACAGAGGGCAACTGATTGCAGTCTAGGACAATGTTGAGGAAGGACTCTTTATATCGTGGGGTGAAAAGGAGTAGAGAGTTTATATTGAAGGGGTTTGGAAGTGGGGGCCTGGAAATGTTGATGATGCATCATTGCTGTCAACAGCAGAAACAATCGGAAACATTTCGAGGGATTTTTAATTAAGGCGGTTACATACAGCACATAAAGTACGTCAACAATTTGGGAATTCCCACCAGCGATGAATTCCATGAAGTACCGTAAAAATTGCACCCTCAGCAGCAACCATAGGTGTCTGTTTCATGCTCTATCGTCGACATCCATGTCTGCCATGCAGTACGGGAGATGTAATAACTTCTTTGATTTCCTTGATATTTGCTTTCATTGCTACCTGAGAGCTGAATAGGCTTGGTCTCATCGAGCTTTTTGTAAACCGCTTCTCGTCGAGGATTTCTTTTGATACGTGTAAGGTTATTTTCGAAGTACCGCATGAGAACCCCGATAGCCCAAAGCTATAGAATGAACCTGCTTTGTCCTGTTCTAACATTTGTGCGTGTGTACCTAGCGAATGCGGTACCGGTCGAACTGGGACCATGGAACAGTACCATTCATGCACTTGTGATAGGTGTTTCTGTTGCAGCCAATCCACTCCAATGAAGTGGTTTTCCATAAAAACCTCTTGCACTTTGCTCTCGACGCATTCGTGATTTAAATTGGTGTTCTATTATTTTCTTGCATACGCACGTAGGCCACCTCCATGTGGGTAGATGTAAATAATTCGAGAACTACTAAAACCACTACGTAACCGAAGGTTGTACCCTGCAAAATCAAGTGTACTGTACCGCACAGAGGGCCATGGATGTAGTGTAGTGTTAGAAGGGGATATGGTGAGACGGACGCTGGGAATGGCGAAGATACCTCGCTAAGAGAATCGCATTTCGCAGCGTTAAGTATCATGGTACGCCCAGATAAGACAGCGAGGATATTGTTATTTCTTATCAACCGTAGCTCCAGCAACAGTACGGTATATGGGTGGGTGTACTGTAAATAACACGACTTCGATTCCAGAAATTTGCCATCACGATGTTTGCAGGGAGCCCGATCATTTTTGTGCTGCAAAATGGACAGCCTGGGTTGAGTGCTCCAAGTTTGCCAAAAATGCAAATACGATGACTGAGGGCGGGCCTGAATGTTCTTCTGGGAATAGTGCTATTCAGATCCAATTACAAGCCGCAGTTTTCATTTCTTGTCTCCTACCTGGAGTGTCTTCGCCGAAAATCCCGGGAACAAGTGTACGAGAGCTCCTAAGAAAGGGGCAGGCGTAGGACAGGCTGTGGTCGCGTTGGAGGGTGCCTAGACGGCAGCTGAGTGTAGTCATTACGTCCTGCTTGGAACAAACTCATCAAGTTGGGATACGGGTGGGTCCCGTTGGCTCTTCAGAAGAAAAACAATGTGGAGAACACTCGCCTCAAACCAAAAGGCGCATGCGTAGAGGCGTTGAAATTGAAGTGTGCACGATGCTCCATGCATGCACGACACGTGTATCCTTGCGAAAAAAAACTGACATAGCGCGCAGGAATGGACTCGAGGACCGCGGGGACTGCGGAGGAGGATGAGCCGTAACGCCCCGACCGGCAACATCCTGGTGCAAGGCCTCGGGTCAAGACACACCAAGACTCCAGCGCGAACAAAACCACAATGCTCTACCACAATAAAAATACATGAGCGATAACGTTACATGTAGCTCAAAGCCTCGAACATGATGGCGACCATAGCCGAGCCTGCGGCGTTAACGAGGATGGCGTTTTGATTGTAGCGCCATTGCCCACGCACGCTTATCAAAGTCAATACGCCTCCCGTAAAGCCTCCCGCAATGGCAGGGTTGAGCAAGTCGCGTCTACGGCGCATGCGAACAATACTGCATTTCGAGGCGCCGTACAGGGTGGTCCAGCTCGCAAAGGCGGCGGCGTTGCGCACGGCGCCGGCGCCGGCAAAGGAGGCGGCCGCGGTTCCACGGTAACCACTTTGCACCGCCGTCGACAGTGCTGTTGTGGGTAAGGAAACGTGAAGTAGATGATGGTAATGGTGAGTCAGAATCGGTGGTGGGTATAGGCAAGTACAGGATCGAAAATGGTGCGTGCAGGTAGGAGGTGGAAGAGCTTACCCATAGCACCTCCAAAAACTGAGCCGATGACGGCGCCGCGCACGCCGTGTGTAATACCGACCGCTATGCAATTCGGCGGTTGGTACCCGTACATGGCGGCAGCGTCGACGAGGTGAGCTGAGTGGCGATCATGTTTCCAATCTGCGTCTTGCAAGGATAAGGTCTCGGCGCGATCTCGGGATTGAAAGGCGGCGCGGACCAAGGAGGAATCGACGTGGATTGGGTCTGGCTCCGCTGGGGAGGAATGGGCCTCGTAGAGGTCGTGCGAGGAGGGGGGGAGGGGTCGGGTGAAGGAAAGGAAGGTGAGCGGAGGCTTGCAGGCCTCGCATTCGGTCATGGCGAGGGCGAAGGGGAATGCAAGTCTCTTTGAGGAAAGGAAGAGAGGGTAGAGCTGTGGCGTCGTGGTTGGAAAGAAGCAATTGAGAGTCGGATGAGCATCATGGCAAGGTCGTGGTGACCAATCCTTGCCCACAAGAGCTCGCCGCAAAGAAGACTGCTTGACATCGTGGAATATAACACGTGTGCAATGAAAGGTGCGGCTCTTTTACGCGGTGCACACGTGTAACTGTAATTTGGTTTGTAGACGTCAGCGAGTCGAGATTACAGCTGGTGACTGTCCACGTGTCAGCGAAGAGAAGCAACCTGAGAAAAGCAAAAAGTATGAGAAATATATTGTGTGGGCGAAAACTGTTGAGACCTTTGACCCTTGCCATCATAATAATGTCCTGACAGGAGTGATCGTGATGGCACACAGAGGCGAGAAAACGAGATGAGCGTGTTGCCGCTTTGGGAAGTTTAGGAAGACGGGAAAACAATCGTGAGATTAGTAGCCGGCACACGTGCCCGACTGGACATCGCCTTGGCATCTCTGCATTGGTCCAGTTTGAACTTGAACCCGAAATCAGACGCAACGGTCGATTCTCGCATTGATCTTTCTCCCTGGACTCGACATATCTCTCCACAAGCCGTCCAATCACACATACACACGTCCCCACGTGGCCGCGCCACCGCCGCACCTAACCCCGACCCACACAACCAGAACTGAGCTCTACCCCCACCCTCGAATCATATCGCCCCCATCCAACATCACTCACCATCCTCCCGTCCTCTCCTTTACCGACTTCCCGTCTACCGACTTCCCGTCTACCGGCCACCGAACGCTACCACTTCCTACTAAAACCTCTTCCCGCCCTTCCCGCCCCGCCCCCTCACCACTCTCCCCTCCTCCACCCCTGAACCCATTCCCCGCCTGCCGCCCTCACCCCCAACATGTCGTCGACCGGCCCGGGCGGACTCCTCCGCAACTTCGCGCGCCGCCGCCGCGGGGAGAAGGCCGCCGAGAAGGCGTCTGCCGCTGCCTCGGCCACCACGGCCGCCCCGGCCTCCGTCAATTTCCT